TTCAGGCCCAATTAATGATGAATATCAGAATATTCGGTGCGGTCGGGGGACACTTCCACCCCGGGGCAGCGCTCTGACGGGGTGGAAGTGTCCAGAACACACAGGCAGTACTTGGCTGCTGATGCTAGTTTAGTTAGTGCTCACACTTCTGTTTCCACCATTGGTGGCGGCGGGGGAGTGGCAGATACGCTCCACTGTTACCATCCATGTCTACTTCCATAAACACTGAGCACGCTCGCTACGTGTGACGTCGTCGTGTCCTTTTCTGTGTGAATGAACTCACAAAGAAATCCTCATTGAGCATCAAGTCCTGCAGTGTGAACGTAGCCAATCTGTGGGATTGTTCAGTCAGACAATACGCCGTTATCCTGATTGGTGACATTAAATGTCATGTCAGAGTGAGAATCCAAGGCTGTCGCTATGTTAAGGCTGTTTTTATGGGTTCTGCTAATTTTTCCCAAAAACCTGTTGGATAGCAGGTTTAGGATTGTTAAGAGTCGATTATTGAGTCACGACTGTGTCTGTTTTTGCAAATAAACTCTTCACATGTAGTTTTATCTGAACGTTTTCTTGGCCTTCCTGGTCCTATCTTGACCTCCACAGTTCCCCTCTGTGATTAGTTCCTGATGACATTTCAGTAGAAACTGCCAGCAGGAAGCATTTAGGCGTCATTATATAACCTTCACCTGCATCAATTAGCTTCAGATCCTCATTGTGTCGCCGAGGCCTGGCCGCGATAACAAAAGGTTTGATATTGACTGACATTACTTAATGATCATCGTTGCCTTCCCTCCCGAGCCCTAACGAGTTAATTAAGCTCAATTAGGGCCTCGTTCATTTGCTTATAACTAAATAAACAGGGTCAAGCGCCTCCGCCGGTGCCTCCCAGACAGCTCTGGCCTCTCTCTAACACAGACATCACATTTGTCTCCATCTGGCCCTGAATGCACCTATTCCCTGTTGCTTTCCACCGCGTCACAACGAGTTTGTCTTTCTCCATTAAGGCTCCGATGCTGCGAGGCCGGACTCAGCGCAGACACATTTTATTATTCATTACTTTTCATTCTTCCCGTCGCCGCGGTGTCTGGCTTCGCTGGTGGTACAAGTGTAAAAAAAAAAAGTGACCTCTCTTATCACGCTCAGGATCACCCGCTAAAAAGAAGACGTTTATCAGCAAGCTCGATGTTATTCACACGACGCCGGGCGCATAATTGCATCGGCAATAAGACGGCGAGGCATTCAAACAAAAGAAAAAAACCCCAAAATACCAGCTTTTTTTCTCTGTTGTCGGAGTTATTAGATCTGCAGTGAAATACGTCAGAAATGTGCTCTAATCATCAAAACACCATCTCACCTCAAGAAATAACCAAAACAAACAAGCGGCCTGTGAATGAGCGCAGACAGATGCCTTTTTCAAAAAAATTTCTCAAGTAAACAGCTGGCAGGATGTCGGGGGGGTTTCTGTACCACTGATAGCAGTAAGCGGCGGCGTTACAGGAAGTACGGCAGGTATGGGAAACGAAAGGCGTGCGGCGGGTTTATAAAAGACAGGGTTGGCTCATCGAGTGACGGGTTAAACATTTTTCTGAGAGCTATTTGTGGCCTCTGCCGCTTTGCACGGCACATAGAGAACAGCATGGAGACGCTTCTCTTTCTATTTCCTCAATTCAACTACATGGCCCCAAAGGAGGAAGCATATTTCAAAATGCTTGGTCCAGAAGACTTGCGAGCACCAAAGATGAAGGACGACAGCAGCAGGTCGGTGTCTGAACCACAGCTTTTTAAAAAAAAAAAAATGTTTACTCGTCTTTTTTCCGGGCGAATAACCTGAATAGAGCGAGTTTGATGATCGGGAGCAGGTTCAGCCGCAGTTCGAGTACAGAAAAGTGTTTGTTTCTTTCATTACAACAGATATGTGTGTTCTCTCTATGCAGCCCGACTGAAAGCCTCCAAGACTGTTGCACTTTTAAAAGCCGCCGTCTCCCGTGATAACTCTGCGCTTGCTTTTTCTGCTGAAGCCCGTCAGCTTGTGCGACTTGTCTCGCAATTTGTACCGAACCACGAGAAAGCTGTTGTGTAATTTATTGTGTGTCATGTAAGCCGACTTCAGAGATGCGTCTTCGAGGAGGGGGCCGTGATGAGTTGCTGATTTGGTGGATAGTGCCACGGTTGCAGATGCAGACAGTTTGTGGAACTTGATGTATTCTCTCCCTCGTTTGCAGACAGAAAGACAAGGAGAGGAAGAGCCGACTCAGCCTTTTTCTCACCAAGTCGGGCTCGCACGAAAACGTCAGCCCTCATAAGAAAACAAACACCGCGTCGAGCGAGTAAGGCGAAATCCATTAATTTCACATAAAAGCGATATTATTTTGGACAAGTATTATTCATTTTTAACCTCAGTTTTCAGTAGCCTCCATGACTCATTACACTCTTGGAGAAACATGGCATCCAGACGTCTCTCTTTTTTTTGCTGCATCATTAGAGAAGATCTGACCGTATCTTAGATTTCTTCTCTCTGTTTTTTTTTTTTTTTTGCAGCATCTCACCAGAGGCAGCTTTGCAATGGAGCGACTCCTTTGAAGAACTGCTAAAACACTCAGGTCAGATTAACACCCGAAACTTTTCAAAAAAACGTTGTGTTGAATCGCTGCCCGAACAAGTCCGCTCGCCCGTCACTCATCTTCGCTGCATTTGAATCGTAAACTGCAAGCGAGCGCTAGGAGCAATAAATAGTTAATGGAGACAGCAGCGAGAGTTTCACTACGTCTTTTAATGTTTGTTAGCGCAGATAGTAATACAGAAACTGTGCAACTTCCTCCTAATCACAGAAGTTGCTCTTTAGTGCAACACTGAAACTGTGCAGCGCTGTATGTGCTCATCTGGGAGCAGCTACCATAAAGAATATATGCAATAAAGATAATACTGTCTGTACAGTTAAGCAGCTATATGAGAGGAAACCTATTAAAAGTTTCTACATTATGAAATTGTTTAGACTATATAATTGGCCCCTTTTACTGCCTTTGGGATTATAAACTTGTGGAAAGTTTATCGGAGCCTCATTTAGTCGACGCTCTCAGAGACGCTGCCTTTCTGACGCCGTGACAGCAGCTAACAGCGTGTCTCTGTTTCCTCACATCAGATGGAGTGGAAACCTTCTCTCAGTTCCTCAGGACAGAGTTCAGCGAGGAAAACATCGAGTTCTGGCTGGCCTGCGAAGAATACAAGACCATTGATTCTGAAACAAAGCTGTTGTCCAAAGCCAAATATATTTATACAATTTTCATCGAATCGGAGGCCCCCAAAGAGGTGAGGCACGGCGTGTGTGTTCATCATCAGCTGCATGGATGCTCAGATAACCCCCATGGTTTAGCATTTTTCTCTGTTTGTTTGTCACTGAGGGACTGCTGGAGGTTTGAAATATTTATGTCATTGCAATAAAAAGAACAGTGGGCGAATTCTAAAGCGCTGCACCGGCATGAGCCCGCAGCAGGTTGACCTTTGTGAGCGATCATTAGGAGCAGCAGCTCACTGAGGTCACGCGTCTCGGTGCATGCACCGCTGCAAAGCAGGTCGGCTTATTTCTGTGTGAGACGGTTGTGGTTTAAAAGGTTTCCACTCGTTCTGCAAAGATGATGCGACCACCATCTGATATGCTTTCAGGGCCTGCAGCAGACCTGACCGTTAAAGAGTTGGGTGTCTGGTTTGAGGTTTTGAAATTCCTCTGCAGAAGTGGAGAGCAGCATCTCCCACACACTTTCAGGGGAGGATGAGTGCATATGTAAATATGAAAGTGTTTTGTTTTTTTTTTTCTTTTAGCATGCTGCAGTAGCGTTACAGCAGCTCAAGCGATTTTCAAACAGATACGAATGTAAATGGAAGCAACCTTCAATGCTGACGGTGGAGGAGAGTCCAGCTTAACACAGTTTAGTCCCTCAAAGGCAAAACAAACATCCTGTAAAGAACATTCTCAGCCTGGTTTTTTACATGAATATGTTTGGCTTGATTAGTTTGTTCTTTGTTTTTTCTAACAACTCATTCACAAAACTAGGAGGCAGAAAGTCGAGGCCTTAATCTGTGATAATGTTCAAGAGAGCTGATGTGTGCCTGAAGGTCACATGGTGCCAACAAAAACAGAAAATCCTTCCTTCCTGATGACACCGAGACCTTCAAGTCTCGTTCTCCAAAAGAGCAGCCTCATAAATACCCGAGATTTTTAGCTTTGATTCACATGACCCACCTTTAGAAAAGACTAGAATGTCAAGTTGATTATTATGGAGGGATCCTCTGAGGCAGGTCGGGGAGCATTAATATCTTTAGAGAGCGACCGAAAGCATCCTGATGCTCTAAAATGGACTTATATTTGATGTTATGAGTATAATTCTTCAGAATACGAGGATATATTCACACCGCAAAAAAGAAATCCATAAAAAAAGCAATGAGAGGCAGAAGGAATACATCTTTAACATATTTTTTCTGGCTCTGTCACTGCTGTTGGATTTTTGGTGGAATAATCAAGAACTGTAAAATACAGGTTGTGATGTGGCATCATTTACAGTTTTCACCCTGTTTTGTTTTTAATTTTCAAATATTTTAACCATTAACATGTAAGTGAATACGTTTTCTTCCTGTGATTTGACCTGTAATTTAACCAAACAGGGAGAATCTGTTAAAATATCCATTAAATATTATTATTTTAGTCGATTTTATCTTTCAAACGGTGGCAAATATCTGTAAAACACAGTATTTGTTAGTGATTTAAATACATTAAAACTGTGTAATTTTATG